CATTCCAAGGCGGAGGAGACACTGATCAAGCCCACCTGGGCTCAGTCTGTGCCTATATCGTTCTTACTGTGTGACGGGTACACTGGTGAATCGTACTTCCAAGGAAAAAGAATCTCTTCACAGGATTGTTGTGAAGACTAAAGGTGCAGTGGTGTGTAACGTGTTCAGTACTACACTTAGAACTGCCTGGAGAGTGATCACTGATCTTACACACATGCAGGGAACTGACCACCAGATACACGGAAGACGTCTGGTGAGGGCCGGGGACGTTGCTCGGTGGTACAGTATGTGCCTGGGCGGGACACTGGGTTCCAACTCCAGCACACTAAAAAAGTCTGATTACAAACTTCAGTTTAAAAACCTGACAGAAATCCCTTAACCGCTGCTGTGCCTGTGGTCTCTGGCCAACTGTGGGTGAGTTGGGTCTTTGCTCCTCCAGGAAGTCTCAGACCCAGCAACACTAGGTGTGGCGCCTTTTCTCTGAGTCGCCCTAGCGCCCTACGCCTTCCGCTCTTAAAGCACTTCAGTGTGTCCTGGCAGCCCTCCAGTCCCGCCTCTGCCTCCTGTATCCTGAGCTCTCCCTACGTTTGTCTCTGTAGCCTCAGAGCCAGAGCACAGTAGGCGCTCACAGCACAGCGACCGGCCAGCACGAGGTCGTCTTCTCCCAGCCCTGCTCTGTGTGTCTTGGTCCTGCCCTGCCTCTGTGCAGCCCTGGGCTGCTGCTGCTCTCCTGCTGGGGGCCTTGACATTCAATCTCTGCTCATGTTCTTCCTCCAGCTCACTCCAAGAAGTGCATAGCTGTTCTTCTTCAATTAATCATACTGCCATGCAAGCTCTGTGAGTGTCCAGCTCTCCTCCACATACCTCTCACTTGATGTGACTTGTCTGGGCCACGGGGCAGAGCTCACAGTGACAGCAAGAACATGGCAGCTGGAGGAGAAAGAGGGGGTGTGGATGGGAAGCAGAGGCCCATGGGGTGCCGCTTTCGGGCTGGACCAGAACCCACATCCTCTCAGTAAGAACATGAGTAGGCCAGGGTGACGAATTCACCCACAAAACCAAGGAATTTAGAGCCACAGGTGGTGAGGGCTGGATGAGACCTGGAGATAACTGAGCTTCAAATTTTCTTCTAAACCACACAAACCCATTCCAACATGGTGCTGTTCTGGCTGAAAGGGTTGGAAGGGACCGTCCCAATCCCATGCTCCTCTCACACCCATTTGAAGTGGCAAACACACACATACTCACAAGCCCACATGCACACACACACATGCACATGCATGCATGCACACCTTGCTCGGCAGCTGGATGTGTTTCTGAGGGTTTCTTGGGTCTAAAGGAACAAGAGCAACTTGAAAACCACTGGGCAGACTGGATCTTTCATACCTAAGAAAGTCACACGGGGACGTGAGAAGGGAGCAGGTCGGAGCTCCCGGTTCCCATTCTTTCCACTAACCTCCTCTGCCACCTCCCCTCAAACGGCACCCACCCTGCTCCCCACAGACACCTCCGCCTTCCGGATTCAGAGCTGCAGGAATTCCTCAGTGTGGGTCCAGTTTGAGTAGAAGTGTTGCTGGAACAGTCATCACCCTTGACAGTGGAAGAGAAACGTTTTCAGCTTTTCTCAGAAAGGAAAGGCTGTGTGACACCCAGCCCGAGAGGGCTGGGGAAGGCGGGCGGGCGTAGAGAGGACGCTGCACTCAGAGGGCCGCCACACCTGACCTCTGGTTTCAAATGAGTGTGAGTGGTTTTCTAGCACCATCCAGTGGCACAAAGTGATACTGTCACTGATGCTGAGGCCGTTCGGTCTTCCTCACTGTTTTTTCAATCTCCCAGTGATCATTCAAGAGCCCCTGGGTGGTCAGGACTCACACCAGGCACAGCCAGCATAGCAAATGTTGATTATAAAATCTGATTTCACCAAGATCTCCCTCCATCCTTTATCCACACAGGCATCTCTAGTCTGCCATCTTCACTACCAGACCTCCGCAGCAGCCTTGTAAGACAGGTTCCTCTCATTCTGCAATCTAAGGTCTAGCTCAGGGCCTAGAAAATAGAGCCCTTAAAATCCAGGATGCTGGCATGGGCCTTTCTGGGGAAGTGGAGGCTTTGGTAAAATCTCTCCAGGTACTAATGACTCTGTTGTTATCCATCTGAAAGGTTAGACAAATGTTTAACTTGAGTGTTAGAAGTGAAGCTTCCTTGAGTGTTAGAAAGTGAAGCACCTAGATTTGGGTCATCTCCATATACTTCTGAAGACAGGTTCCCCGGACTCAGTGGCAGAGTGCTTGCCTAACTTGTGTGAGGCCTTGGGTTTCTTCCCCAGCATGAGAGAAAGAGGAGGAGGCAAAGAGAAAGAGACAGAAACAGACAGACACACAGAGACTATAATGAAAGTGGACATCCTATCATGTCTTCAAGAAGATAACCCATGTTGTCCAAGACTCAAAAACATCTAATCAATTGGTACATTTTCTTCCCTTTCAATTTTTCATAATTCTACTTCGTAGATGTAACTTTGAGTTAGATAAAATTATCGTTTGCACCTAAAATGAGGGTGGAGAGTCATCTTTTCCGGATGTCCTCAATGTCTTGTGTGGCCAAGCAGTCTGCTGCTAGAGAACTCTTACTTTGTCATTGTCTTTGGATTTTTTCTAAGTCATGAACTACTTGATACAGCTAAGAGTTCCTCAGTTTCTACTGATAGGTTCTAATCATTTTTTCAATTGCTGTACTGAGATTGGCAAGTCGTTTCATCAAACTGCCTTTATTTCTCTCCTCGAAGAAATGGGGTTTTGAAGAACTGCACATGGTAGTCAAGGGCATACACCCTTCTGCAAAATGAGCACAAAAATCCTTGGAGATTTATACTACACAAAGTTAGCCTGACTCAACTGCTTTAACTTATCAAAGCAATATTTGTATTTCAACTTCTAGCAAAATGACATACTAGTTACTCCACAGGACTTTCCAAATAAAATATAATTAGATGATTAATCACATAAATGTAATAAACATAATTTTATGAAAGTTTAAGGAGTAAAACCTTAGCAGAGAGCATTAGGCAATAAGCCAGTTACTAAAACAGAACTGGCTCTGCGTACAGCATTCTATGGCTTCTCCACCCGCATCAGCAAATTTCTCCTGCAAACCAGTTCCAAGAACTTGTAAACCACATTGTCAAATACATGTATAACAATGATCCCATTACTGGACCCCATGTCTAGTACACACTGTCTGTCTTAATCAGCTTTCCTGCTACTAGGACACAATATCCAGCAACCACAATTTAAAGGAGGAAAGGTTTCACTTAGCGCACACTTCCAGGAGATTCAGTCCGTGGTCTGCTGGCTCCAAAGAAGAAGCATCACAGTGGAAGGGTTGTGAAAGGAAACAGCAGGGGAGGAGTGTGAAAGATACATAGATTAGGGATCACACATCACCCAAGGTTTTACTTCCTTGGGCCACCCAGACACACTTAGGATAATGCTTTATTAATCTACCAGATGTATCTTAATCTGGTGAAGCTGACAAATTAGGATTAATGGCCCTAATCCACACTTCATCAACTTCATACCCTAACACATCTCCTTAAACTATACCTAATCTCCAAATAAAAGACAATAGCAAGTTCATGATGCCAGCTAACATCATAAAACTATTCCTGTTCAACTGGAAATATATCACTCCTTTTCCAGTGTCTCAACAGTTCTCACATTTTTGGAAGTCTAAGTCTAAGGCTTTTCTGAGACGCAAGGCAACCTCTTAGCTGTGATGCTATTAAGATAAAAAACGAGGAACACATTCCCAGAGTACAGTGGCAGAAAGTGACTATTCCCCTTCCAAAAGAAAAAAGGAGACAGAAAAAGTTGGATCTAGCCAGGCAGATATTAATTCCTGTATTCCTGTGCCCAGCGTCGAGGGCACATGGTGATAAGCTGTGAGTTCAGGAGAGCCCAATGCTGACTGCCATGCAGACAGTGAAGTCATGGCTCAAGAGGTTTTGGTTGAGAACAAAGACCCCCATTGCCATTTGGATGAGATACCAAGCGTGTTACACTGGCAAAAGAAAAAGTCTACTTTTTTTCCCAAGTCCTAAGACTATTCAGGACACTAAGATTAAGGGCAGTGGACAAATTGATTTGGAGGAGAAAATTTCAAGATAGCCCAGCATTCAGAGTGTGACAATGGGGTGCCTATTTTAGCCAGATTTATAATGAGAATAGGGGGCAGAAGGCTGAACAAATCTGCCTAGCTTGTGGTGGTCAAGAAGTAGGGAAACAGTGCAGAGAGGAACAGGCTAAGACTTTCCCAAGTCAACCTGCATGACCCACCAAACACACCCAGGGGCGTGCTTTCCTAATCAACTAGGCATCTCTTAATCCAGTGATGTTGACAAATCAGGACTATGGTGACAGCAGGGGTGGACATAGTTTTTTCTGGTATCAAAGTAAAAGAGGAACATTCAAAGACACACTTTGGTTTCTTGGGGGTTTTTTTCTATTTGTTTTGTGGTACAGGTGATGAAATCCAAGGACCAACTCCCGCTAGGCAAGCACTCTACCACTGAGCTATGTATGCAGCCTATTGTTTCCAGTGAGGAAGGCAAGCAGTGTGCGTAGGAACAAGCTCTGCCTTTACTGAAAGTGGCTAGTCCGATACCACATTTTCTACAAGAGACCCTTTGCTTCGATATTAACAAAGAGCAATCTCCCAGAAACACAGTGTTCTACATCGATAGTAAATAACAAGACCAGACAAGACCTGTTGAGTTTGGCCATAAGAGAAAGTATATTGTGACATTTGTTGTGCTCTCAGCAATAGGCTAGACAGAACAAACAACTGAAAAATAATAACAGGTTCTTAGATTTACAGAGCAAGGACTCAGAGAGAAAGAGAGAGAACCAGATGTGAATGCAATTTGAATGGCTTGATTCCCTGGAATGCTTTTTTGAAACTGTGCTATTATCATGATGACCACAGAAAATAAGAGGAAGTACCTGTATATCTCCACTGGAGTTTATATCTGCTGTATTAGAGGCTTCTTTGTTGCTGGGACATGATGCACAACCTAGAAGTTAAAAGAGACAAGGTTTATTTTAGCTCACAGTTTGTAGAGATTTCAGTCCCTAGTCAGCTGGCTCCAAGGCAGGGCGGTATGGCAGAGGGGCATCTCAGAGGAGAAACAGTCCCTGGCAGGCAGGAAGCAGAGAGCAAGTTTCCCTTTCTCTTTATTCCATTCAGGCTACAAGCCTTTTGGTGAGGCGAATCTCACCCAGGCTGAGTCTTCTGTCTTCAGTAAACTCATTCAGCCACATCCAGAACTGTGCTAATCCAATCAGTGGACCGAACCACACACTCATTATGCATATTCATACACTCTAGATCCAACCACTCCCAAAGCTCCACTTATGAGTTCATGAGACTTTGGGGAGACATCTATATATAAGCGACAGCATCTGTATACGTCCTGGGCCTAATTATCAACCCCTTCCTTTCTCTAGGATGCATAGAAACAAAATAGAGTGTGCTGGCTATTTGGGGGAAAGATGCTCACAGCATACATATATTGATAAATAATTTTGAATCCACATTGTAATATTTTAACAGAACTTTAAAATGAAATCTGTCTCTCAGTAAAGCATACAGTGGGCAGGTAGGTGGTATTAATATTAATAGGTAACATTTATACCCTTTCCATTTATTCAACAAATGACTGAAGGCCTTGTTAATATATGTGAAGTAGTATTGTCGATGGTTGGATATGACAACAGGGACTTCTGTTCCCATGGAGTTTTCAATCTAGACAGGAAGGTTGATGATGAACAAACCAACGCTTACCTCTTATAATGTCCTCTTGTGGTATGTGCCATGGAGAAAACAAGGTGGGAAGACAGAGGGTAACAAGGAGCCGCTTAGTTCAGGTGGTCAGTGAGGGCCTCCTGGGGAGGTGACCTTTTAACACAGACATCACAAGAGATGAGGAGGGAGACATGTGATGAAGTACTCTACAGTCGGACTTCTTGAGTAAGAATCATGATTCTCTATGAAGTTGGCTGAGTTTCTGGAACTTTCTGTGCTTTGGGTTCCTTCTCCATAAAGTGAAATATTTGCAATTGTTTCATAATATTACTAGGATTAAATGATTTACCTATTTGTTAATCTTTTCCGTTGCTGTAACAAACTCTTTCTAAGCAAGATACTCAATAAAGAAGAACCTTATTTGGCTGGACATTATGGAGATCTAAGAGCATGGCATTGGCGTTTGGCAGCCCTAGTGAGCCCCTTTGGCTATGTCACAGCATTACCAATGGTGCCAGGGTGGAATCACATGGGAGAAGCAGAGAATGCATGGCAAGAGAGGAGCCAGAGTGTGGTTCTGGGGCCAGGCTTGCCCTTCTGTAGCAACTCACCTTCATGGGCACTAACTCCTTCCATAAGCACACAACCCACTGCCTAGGGTAGTGGTTCAAGCAACCTCATTGCTTCCCATGAGGCCAAGTCTTCTGAAGTCTCTGCCCCCTCCCTACCCCACTGAAGACTAAACCTCCAGCATACAAACCTTTGGAAACCAACCTTGTCTCAACCACCAAAGCAACTGAAGAGCCCAACACAGAGACCAGTTTTCCCCACACTTTAACATCTCAAAATCAAGAATGTCTCACAATGAACAGGGGGCTTAATTCAGCATGGTGGCTATGCAGCAGTCCTGCTTGATGATACTGTCACCGACTTTTCCTGAGCCAGAACCATCACCCTTCAAGGTAGGGAGACAGGACACCTGCAGCCACTTCACGCTACAAACCATGCCAGGATCAAGGCAGGAAATAAACCACAAATCCTGATAGTGGGAAAATGTTCTCTGTGACACTCTGTAGTAAGATCCAGGAAGCTCGATTACACAAAACTGAGGAGAAATTTCTGGAACCAGAATCCTAGAGAACCTAACAAGTATACTATAACGAATCTCTTGATGACTCTGACACTCTTATTTTGTGGAATAACTTGGGCTTGGAGACAAGTGTGTCAAAACAGCCTTTAAAAATGTAAAGGAGTTTCAGAAATGGTTTAAATAATTTATTCTACTTGCATTTTCCTTTTATGTGGGAACAAGTGTGAGCTCTGACTTTAAAAACTACGTCCAAACAGGGTCACCTTTCCAAAAGAACAAAGTGAAAATTCAAAGTGATGAGGAAGCATTGTTCGTATTTAATTGGCAGTGGTTTTTTTCTTCCTTAGTGGCTCATAAAATAATAATGAGTGCATCTTACAAAGGATGCGTCTTACCCTCAATGAAGAGTTGCTAAGCTTTTTAGAATAGTGCCAGGCAGTAGTAAACTTTCAGTAAGCACTCATATACTCAGGGGATAATCCTACACTCAGAGAAATTTGGGATTTGGGGAGTACCAGGGGCCTTTGCATTGCTTGCCACGTGGACCTCCGTAGGTCCCACACCCCCAAGGATATGGAGAGGAGGTGCTGTGTAGGATTCCCCAGCTGATGAGCCCCGACAGGTTCGCAGCTCCTTTGTCTCCTGAGGCAGCTCTGAGCAGACGGTGTTTCTAGTACAGCCAAGAGGATCATGGATGTGACATCAGAAGAAAGAGGAGCTGGGGGTTCCTGGGGCCAGGACAAGTCTCCCAGCATGCCATTGGCAAAAGCACCTAGTGCTCCCCAAAACCTAGATACCATATCCAAGGAGGAAAACACTGTGAGAACTGCAAAGTTGTATGATTTTAACCACAACAAATTAAGAAAACCTCTCGATGTGAGGAAAAACTATGGTAAATACTTTAATCTTTTAGAAAATGATTCCATGAGAACACATCGCCATGAATTCCCCTCAGAAGCTTTCCTCCCGCATCAAACACACCCCTCCGATCATTCTCACACTTCCTGCAGCGGCTTTGAAGTCCTCTCTCTTGAGCGTCTTTAGTGTGCTGTTGCGACTGCCTCCAGGTCCAGAACCAATCCAAAATGGATTCCTTTTATGGTCGCTGTGACTTTGGGAAGAGCCGGAAGTCACACAGCACCAGATCTAGTAAATGAGGTGGATAAGATCCACTGAAATTTGACAGAAGTTGCTATAAACAGTCAATGAGGTGTGATTGATAAATACAGTGAGTATTTAAATTTTTTAAAATAATCCCCCTAAAAGTGCTCCCCCTAGCTTCAAATGTACTTTTTGTTCTTGGCAGTGTGTCTCTTATCATAACAATTTTTAAAAATTTAAACATTTCTTATATTTTTTATCACCCTTTTTAAGATAACCAGGGTTACTTGAAATTGGTGACATTCTGGCTCTTTCTTAATGAAATAGCAGTTTAAAGAAGAAACTATTTAGTTCTAGGAGAAAGAAAATAAATATATCTATATACCTAAGCATGTGGCTTGAAACCTCTTCCCTGTTCTAGGCATATACCCCGAGACGTGACATTAGTTTGGAGGAATCATGGTTGGAACCATTGTAATGTAAATGTGTTGAGTAAGGGAATTTCTTCAGCTAGCTGCAAGTTGTCCTAATCTAGTAGACAATTTCCTAGAAGAATATATCAAGGAATTATCAAAATCATTACAAAATATGGTTTGCAAATGTGGGCCTGTTCATTACTTTTTTTCAGTTTAGTGATGTACTGCTTTTTATTTCATGCACTAGAGTGGGCTGAAGGACACTGGCCTTACATCTTCCTGTAGCGAATGGATTAAAATTCCCCTGATTACGTAGACATTGCAGGAGATTGAGAGTGTGCTAAGGACATGCCGAAAGTTGAAATACAAATGCTGAGGAGGTATTGTGAAGTAATCTCCAAAGAGAGAGGCAAAGACATGGCTTATGAAGCAGTTAAGGACCTGCCAGGGAGTGAGGGGTGGTTGCTCAACAAGGAAATGCTTCATTTGATCATTAGGATTATAATGAGCAAAACTTAAAAGTAGGTTATAAACTGTGCTTTTCTGAGTGTGATCTGGTTTCAGCGTTGCTTCATTGGACCTCTTCAAAGGAGCTTTCCTTGCAGCTTTGGCCTCTCACTTCCTGTCACTGCCTGGGGGCCTCTGTGCCTTGTCTCTTAACGCACACATCCCAGAATCGTGAACACGAAGGACAAGCTGCCTGCACTGCTGGCGCATCTGCTTTGTCTTACTTACATCCTATGCTGCATAAAACAAGCCAACTGGAGAGACTCCAGCGGTGTTGCTGGGACTTCTTAGCCGCTCCAGGAGTTTGGAGTTTTATTTTTTTCTTGTTGTTATCTGAATTTCTTACATTCGTTTGTTTTTAAAATATATTTAAATTGGGCATGATGGTATGTGTTGGTAACCCGAGATCTCTGGGAGATCAAGCTAGAAAGATCACAGGCTCCAGCCCAACTTGGGCAACTCAATAAGACCCTGTCTCAAAATTTTAAGATATTTTAAAAAGGGCTGGGGATTTAGCTCAGTGCAGAGGACCTGGATTCAATCCTCAGTAGTGAACTAACATAAATATAAAGATGTAAATGATCTCCACCAGTTTAATCAATAAAATTCTTTCAAGTTTCAGGTCAAGATCTCATAGTATATGATCACCATTTCTCTAGATTCTTCTTCAATCTTTATGATAAAAATTTTAAATAATTGTTTTGACATCTAATATTATTTTTTTTCTGCATAAATTATACCCAAGATGACAAAAAGCACAGAGATTAGATATAACTATTACATGCGTCAAAGATAATTGTAAAACAACACAAACTAATTAGTTCACATCAAATAAAATTAACTTTTGTAGTGTATGGTCTTATGAGTTTTGACAAACACGTACACTTGTGCAGCTGTAGATTGCAATCAATAATCCAGTCAGGAGACCCTCCATCATCCACAAAATTCCCTTAATTCTGCCACTTTGGACATTCAGCCATGTGTTTCCTTAAACACCCAGCCAGGTCTACTACAACACACTGCTCACGTAACCCTCCTTATCCTTTAATTTTGGTAGAAAATGTAGTGATGCTACTGCTATCATTGCCAAGGCTGCTAATTTGTGGTCTTCCTCTCTTATCTACCTAACTACAGACTTATCAGCTTTATTGATCTCCAAGAATAAGCTTTGGTTTTCATGATTTTCTGTTGCTATTTTTTTTGCATTTTATTTGTTTTTGTACTGATCTTCATTTTTTCCTCTTGTTTTGAATTTAATATGTTCTTCTCTCCCTCTAGTGCCTTAGAACAGGAGCTTGGATCACTACTGACCAGAAACTTTCCTTCCTCCCCGAAGTAGTCATCTCATGCTATAAATTTCCCTTCAAGTACTGCACTAGCTGCAATACACACATTTAAATATATTTTGTTTTTATTTTCACTTACTTTAAAACATTTTCTCACATGCACTGTCTTGTTCTTTGAGCCATGGGTTGATTAAAATTGTGTGTGTGGTTTCCAATATTTTTCCAGGACTTTCTAGATGTTTTGCTATCAATTTTTAGATCAATACCATGAGAGAATTTGGTTTTCATTATTTCAGGCCACTTAAAGTTGTTGTTTGCTTTATGGCCCAAGGAAAACCTGTCTCCAACCACCCTTGGAAATGACTTATATTCTTATGTTGTGGGTGGGATGTCACGCTGGTGTCAGTTTTGTCAATTTTGTTGATAGCATAGTTCATATCTTCTCTGCTGTTGTTGATATCTGATATTTGACACTTACCAAGAAAGCATATTGGAGCCTGCAGCAGCAATTGTGGGTTTTCAGAGCCACTTTGAGTCCTGTTAGGTTTTGCTTCGGGTATCTTGTAGTTCCATCGTTAGGATCACACATGTACAGGATGGTGACATCTCCTCTCGTCCTGTGATGTCCCTCAGTATGCCCGGTAAAGTCCACTTTGTCTGGTGCACAGCCCCTCCAGCTTTCTTTCATCAGCATTTTCATTTTGGATCTTTTTACATCCTTTAAATTTTAATATGTCTTTAAAATGAATCTCT